ATTTGCGAAATATTCATACTCTAGTAAACGTTGTAATAAATTTCCGTTAAAAGTCTTGCCAACCTTGTCATAATAATAAACTGAGTAGACTCGATGCACGCCCGAGCGCCACGCGCGAGGGTAAATATTACAACACGCACTTTTGGGCAGCCTATGGTACAATGGTAAATTTGCAGTTACAACGTCGCTTTTCACACTGCTTAATTCTCTAGATTTATTTATTTATTTAGCTTTGCCAACTAGGGCAGGGTCACCACAACAGCATATGCCAATTACTGTGGGCCCTTTTTACCTAACCCACCCTGTCAACTTTCCCTGTGGGAGGAAACCGGAGTACCCGGGGAAAACCCACGGCTTTCGGCAGAGCGTCATCTTCGTTCCCAGGGCTTCTCGGCTGCCTGCGTTGAGAAGCCCTGGGAACGAGGATGGCAGAGCGTTGACTTTTACTCTTTTCACATGGGGACTGGGTTCGAGTCGCACTGAGAAGGTACTTAGTGAGACTCGAACCTGCAGCCTCAGAGGTGAAAGGCAAGTGCGCTAACCACTTGGCCACCGAAGCCCCTAGATTCTCTGACGTGGAAAGACAGTACCCCAAAAATGGCAACTCATCAGTTTAGTGTTTTAAATAGTACATAATAAAATCCCTCGTGTGTGATATATCAAAGAAAATGCTTTATACACCCTTTTCATAAATGGCTGCCGATTAAAAATTCTTTTATGTGCATATAAATTGGCCCAACTAGCCTCGTTTCTGGGTAGAAATTCCTTTGAAATCTTAACATGAGTACGAGGCTAGTTGGGCCAATTTATATGCACATAAAAGAATTTTTAGTCGGCAGCCATTTATGAAAAGGGTGTATGACATTGGTTTTCAAAATGCTACTTAAAGTACAGTTACGACTGCCGTAATTAGCTAATTTTAAAAATATTTTTAGCCCACGATTATTTAACTTGAGTTTTTCTTTTCGCCTTCGAGGAAAGTGCCATTCAAGTATTTAATAAATTACCAGTATTACAAGAAAAACTGGTTTAAGTTTCATTCGACCTTTGCGTGCCAGCAGGCCGGAAACTCTACTTTACTAAAAGAACCCAAACTAAATCAATATATTTGATGTTTGTATATACACGACAATTAAACACTGTATTCAAGAGTACTTAACAAAACAAAGATAATCCGTAGCTTTTTATTCCTTAACGCCCAAACACCCCCGCTTTTCACATAAAGGATCCAAGGAAGAACGTTATCAAAGACCTAGTTACAACAATCCTAACTTCATTACTAATACCTATAATTGTATACTTACAGCAACAAATAGATAAGATTTTGCCGTTGTCTGTTCAGTTAGAGATGCGGGGAGAACAAAAAAGTGGCTCACGTCATAATGTGGGAAGGACAAAAAACGTAGTGGCTCACGAGCCGCGCCGAGTGGCTCACGTTTTGGTTCTACCCACATCGTGTCGTCATACTGTGTATCTATAGCTGAATAGACTACGGCAAAATCTTATCTATTTGTTTTATATAATAAAAAGAAAACCCCCGAAATTTTGAAAAAGTCTAAATTTTACAAATATCACGGGTACATGATCTATACAAATAACGGAATGCTATTAGACGAGGTTTTGTGTGACGTAATTCCGTAACTCTCGACCAATGAAAGCGCTTGAATTCTTAACGCTATTGTATACTAGCTGTTGGTGTAGACAAGAGCCTGGTCTACACTATCAAAGTTGATGTGACCACATTTTTGCAATGGAATTTGCATGCCGGGTAAATTCTAAGTTTTGGAGGATTTGTAAGAAATGTTTGAGGAAACTGACTCAGTGTTAATTTAACATTACTCACAACATTGCTTACAAATCCTTCAAAAACTCATTAATAATTCATGAAGCAATTATCCAATCTTGAGTAAGAAATTAGTCACGTGCATACGTCTTTATACCGAACACTTTAACAAAAGACCATTGTTATGCAAACTATATAAAGGTTTTTATATAAAGATTTTTATATAAAATTTTTATATAAAGATTTTTATATAAAGATTTGACTTATTATGCAAACGTTTTTGAAGCCATTTTTTTTTAAGCTTTAAACCTAATAAAACACTCCTGCTCGTTTTTTAAAATAGTACTTCAAAACTTAGGAATTTACCTATGCAAAATTCCTACTGTGATCATAGAAACTTTCATACTGTAAACCAGGCAATAGCCTTAAAGCAGGTTGCCTCCTAAAAGCATGAAACATGGTTAAATCATGCAGAGGTAGTACATGTTCTTGAATGTGAGCTACCCTAAAGTGATCTGATGTTGTACAGAACTCACTGCTGAGTTAAGCATGGTTAAATCATGCAGAGGTAGTACATGTTCTTGAATGTGAGCTACCCTAAAGTGATCTGATGTTGTACAGAACTCACTGCTGAGTTAAGCATGGTTAGATCATACAGAGGTTGTACATGTTCTTGAATGTGAGCTACCTTAAAGTGATCTGATGTTGTACAGAACTCACTGCTGAGTTAAGCATGGTTAGATCATACAGAGGTAGTACATGTTCTTGAATGTGAGCTACCTTAAAGTGATCTGATGTTGTACAGAACTCACTGCTGAGTTAAGCATGGTTAGATCATGCAGAGGTAGTACATGTTCTTGAATGTGAGCTACCCTAAAGTGATCTGGTGTTGTACAGAACTCACTGCTGAGTTAAGCATGGTTAGATCATGTTCTTGAATGTGATGTTGTACTGAACTACACAGAAGTCACTGAGTTTAGCATGGTTAGATTACAAAGAGGCAGTACATGTTCATAGTAAAAGTTTAACCAATGGGTTTAACAAAAAGAGATTATCCTAATATTCAATTATATTCCATAAACGATCGGTATCTTCCAGCAGCAGAATGAGTGGATTCCAGACCTCCCGGGATGAAACAATTATGTTAAAGTGGCTCTTAAACATAAGTGGATAATTGCAAGGCGAGTCGGGAAGAAAATTGACGGCCGGAGGTTTCCGGAGGTAGCATTGAATGACTAGGTGTGTCAAATAGTCATCAAACAATGCCATCAATCATAAACTAAACTAACGTTATTACTTACACAGGATATAGCTGTCAGTTCTAAACTGTTCTCCTTAGAGATCCAGGAAGGGTCATCTCTTATTGTCCAGTGTTACTACGTGAGGAAACAATTAGGTAATCTAGTCTATCAATTATAAAATTGTTCTCCCTAGAGGTACAGAACGTGAGGAAACCTAACCTAAATTAACTTAATGTTTACTGGGTACTGCTCTATCAGTTCTAAACGGTTCCCCTTAGAGATCCAGTACGGGAGTTGAAAGCTAAACTAAACTAACTTTGTGAATACTGGATCTGTCTCGGCTGTGACGTTGATAACAAACTTTGTGTGGAATTTCTCAACAGCCACTCAGACTGAACAGAAAAAATCTACTTCTCGGCGCTTCGAGCCCTTGTCAGGAGAGGCAATAGTAGCTACTTACTCACCTGAAGAAGGGCGTTTGCTCGAAACATCGACAAGTATATTTTTTTCTGTTTAGATGAAGTGGCTATCGGAAAATTCCACAAAAGGTTTACCGTCCGAAACAGTCCAGTCACACTATAACAGCCACTCCTGAACGGCTCAGTATCAGATCTGTATTACTGGAGGAAAACCCCCCAGACTACCCGGAGAAAATCTGTGGTGTTTGGTCCAGTTAAACACAGTCCAGCACTGTTCTTGTATGTGCTTGTTGTATAACATTGCATGCACAAAAATTGTTCTGATATTGCATGTTATGTCGGTCTGCTCAGAGCACTTTAGCTCTCCTCACAAATATTCATAACCTATTTTTAACAGATAGTTCACAAGTTCAACCTTTGTCTATAAAATTCCTTGGTATTACATCAATATCAGATGGAAATTTGAACTAGCAAAACCGCAAAAATATCACAGACAGCAATAAGACTATCATATCCTATATTGTTTTAGGGCAGTAAAAACTATTGCCGTAATGTATGTAACTATAATCCATATATCCTTCAAACAAACATGATATAATTTTCATTGATCTAAACATATAATTATGCCATCGTGTATTTCGCATACACTTAAGAAATGTGCAATTTGAGGCAAGAACTACTCAACATCGCGGATGTGTAGACAATATAAATCATAATTTTAAACAATCCTTAGTATTTAATGCCAGTTTAAGAGTAGCTTAATGTCTTTGTAATTGCTTTACAGTCAAAATGTTACTACAACAAACGGAAGACGTCTTTATAAACAAATCGTAAAACAAAAGTGAATGATTTATGGTTATTGACATTGTATTGTATGGTGGGCAGAAAGAAGTTTGTAATGAAGTTTGCTTGCATGCGAGGTCCAGTAAAGATCATCATCTCAGTATTGATCCAGTGTTAACCACAGGAGGAAACCTAAACTAAACTAACTTTATTTGTATTGGATAGTTCTATCAGTTCTAAACTGTTCTCCCTAGAGATCCAGTAAGGACCATCTCTTATTGATCCAGTGTTACTACAGGATGAAACCCAAACTAAACTAAC